AAAAAAAAAAAAAAAATGCCAAACGTGTTCTTCCCTTTTGATTTTCTAACTTCAGGTCTTTGCACATTTCATTATGATACTTTACTTTGTCTTTCTAAGCTGCCCTTTGAAATCTCCAGTTTTACTTCATCATTTCTTTCATTCACTTTAGCTGCTCTCTGTTCAAGAGCAAGTTTCAGAGTATCTTTTGACATCCATTTTGGTTTTTTATTCCTTTCCTATCTTTTTAATGACTTTTTGCTTTCTTCACATATGTTCTTGATGTTATCCAATAACTCGGCTGGTCTATTTGGTCATTGGTGTTCAGTGAGTGAAATCTTTTCTTTAGATGATCTCTAAATGCAGGTGGGATATAATCAGTGTCATATTTTAGCTGTCATTGGCTTTTCAAAATTATTTTTAGCTTCAGCTTGAACTTGCTGTTGAGCAATTGATGGTCTGTTCCATAGTCAGCTCCTGGCCTTATTTTGACTGTGATGTTGAGTTTCTCCATTGCCTCTTTCTACAGATGTAGTCAGTCTAATTCCTGTGTATTCCATCTGGCAAGGTCCATGTGTATAGTTGCTGTTTATGCTGTTGAAAAATGGTATTTGTGATAAATAAGTTGGTCTTGCAAAATTCTATCATGTGATCTCTGGTGTCATTTCTGTCACCAAAGCCATATATTCCAACTACTGATGCTGCTGCTTTGTTACCAGCTTTGACATTCCAGCCACCAGTAATTATCAGTATGTCTTGATTGCGTGTTTGGTCAATTTCAGACTGCAGAAGTTGATAAAAATCTTTAGTTCCTTCATCTTTGGCTTTAGTAGTTGGTGAATAAATTTGAAAAATAGTCGTATCAACGGCTCTTTCTTGAATGCATATGGATATTATCCTATCACTAATAGGATTGTAAGGCTCTCTGGTGGTGTAGTGCTTAAGGAATTTGGCTGCTAACCAAAGGTTGGTGGTTCAAACCCACCACACTCTCCATAGAAGAAAGACAAGGCAGTCTGCTTCCATAAAGATTTATAGTTTTGGAAACCCTATGGGGGATGCTATGAGTCAGAAGTGACTCAGTGGCAGTGAGTTGAGACAGCATTGTGCTTCAAGATCCATCCTGAAATGTTCTTCTTGATGATGAACGCATGCCTTTCCTCTTCAATTTGTCGTTCCCAACACAGTAGACCCTATGATTGTCTCATTCAAAATGACGAATACCAGTCCATTTCAGCTCACTAATGCCTAGGATATTGATCTTTATATGTTCCATTTCATTTTTGATGACTTCCAATTTTCCTGGACTCATACTTTGCTCACTCCATGTTCTGATCATTAATGAATGTTTGCAGCTGTTTTTTTGCATTTTGAATCACACCACATCAGACACCATAGTACGACAAACTGACAGGTGAGTGGTGCTAGCCGCAGAGTAACAGGAAATATTTGTCTCTAGATCTGCCAGTGGAATAATGGTGATGTTGAGGATGTAGCTGTGTGAGAAGCACTTCTCTAAACACTTTAATTCTCACAGGTCTTCTAGGAGTTAAGTACTGTGAGTATTTCCAGAGCATATCAAGGTTAAAGTATTTGCCCAGAGTCACTAAGCTGCTTATGATGGAGCTGGAAGTTAAACCCAGACAGATGGATTTCAGAGCCTGCGCCTAGTGGCTGCCCTGTACCCCCTCTGATCATTTGGCATCCCAGCATTGCTTTGTAATTTCTTAAAGGAATCTGGATCGTTACTGTGTTTTAAGTCATCTCAGTGCCATTGCCTGTGTGAGTTAACTGTTCTGTGCATTGTGTTCCCCTCTCTTGTACATGGGACTCTAGTGTGACTACTCCCCACAGAGGACCAAAGATAATGAGAGTTGTTGGGTTGGGTTGGTAGAACAGAAAAGGGCTTTTAGTCCCAAGGCTGGCCCCTCTCCTGTGCAGAAGGGGTTAGGAGGAAGGGGGCTGAGGAGGTTGTGAGTCAGTTCCCCAGGGAACTGAAAGGGAGGAAAAGGCCTGCCCCGGGGAGAACCGGAGCTCTTCTGAAAATGGAAGGCTTTCAGCTGAGAGTCCTTCATGAGACAGAATTGAAGTTAACACTGTTAATTCTACCCCTCAATGTACAACAAAAATCCTCACAACTGGACCAGTAAGCAACATCGTGATAAATGGAGGAAAGATGGAAGTTGTGAAGGATTTTGTTTTGCTTGGATCCACAGTCAACACCTGTGGAAGCAGCAGTCAAATCAAATGACATACTGCATTGGGCAGGTGGACCTCTTTAAAGTGTTAATAAGTAAAGATGTCACTTTGAAGAGTAAGGTGCACCTGACCCAAGCCGTTGTCTTTTTGATAGTGTAATATGCCTGTGAGAGCCGGACCGAAGAAGTTAATGCCTTTGAATTGTGGTGTCGGGGAGTGTTCTGGTTACCTCTGTTCCGCTGTAACAGAATATACCACAAATGGGATGCTTGAACAAATAGGAGTTTATTCTTTTACAGTTTGGAGGCTTTAAGTCTGAGTTCAAAGTGCCAGGCTCTTGGGGCTGGGTGAAAGCCCCTCAGCCTTGGGCTTCAGCTCTGCCTCCTATTCCTGGCCCACTGAAGCTGGAGGCTTTTTGGACAGCTGCTGGCTGCTGAGGCTGACAAGCAAAAAGGTACAGTCCTGATGTTACCAAACTACATGGCAGGCCACTAATTCAAGTCCATTGAAAGTCCCAGGGTTGGCAGAATGTGGCAGGTTGCTGAACAACAACACGGCTACATGCAGGGTTCAAGTATGCCATAAGCTAGAGACCATTCCCAAAGCTGCTGCTTATATACAGGAAGCAGACTGCATCCCTAACGCAGCTACTCAGCTGCCTGTGGTAGATCCCACCATGGAATTGACTGCCAGTCTCATCATGGGGAATAACTACCACCAGCTGCCCAGCCACTCAACCAGGCCCAGCCAAGTTGACACACAACCTTAACACAGGGAGAATATTGAAAATACTACAGAGTGCCAGAAGAATGAACAAATCTGTCCTGGAAGATGTGCAGCCAGAATGTTTCTTAGAAGTGAGGATGGCAGAATTCGTCTCTCACACTTTGACCATGTTGTGAGGTGGGACCAGTCTCTGGAGAAGGCTATCATGCTTGGTAAAGTAGAGTGTTAGGGAAAAAGGGGAAGACCCTCAACAAGACACAGTGGCTGTGATGACAGGCTCAAGCGTGGCAACAGTTGTGAAGATGGCAAAGAACTGGGCAGTGTTTGTTCTGTTGTTCATGAGTCCCTGTGAGTTGGAGGTGACTGAACATCTTACCAACATCTTCTGAATTGATTTTCAGTATTCCAAACCAGCCTCCTTGGCTTGGAGGAGTTAGTGATAACTGTGGAGAATGTTGTCCATGGCCTCCACACAGCTTCTTACACAACCTGGCAGCCCCTGTCTTTCCTGTATTTTTAAAGAAAATGTGTCGCTGCAACCAGGGTCCATCCTTTTTTGGTCAGTTTATGAAGCACACGTGAATGTATGTGTTCAGAGTCTCACTTCATAGCCCTTGTGTCTCCTTGTCACCTTTTCTCAATCCACCTCCCACTAGATAGAGACTGCGTTGTGATGAGCCCCTACCTCCTGCCTCGCTGCCCTCCTGGAAGTCAACTTGGTTTGTAGGTTATCAGTAAAAAGGTTCATGTAAGATACCTGCTGGTTTGCCATGATATTCTTCTTGTCTCCACAGTTGGTTTCTCCTTGGCGGTGCCTTGCTGCTCATCAGCCTATCGATTGCGTTTTACTGTGTAATCTTCCTAGAGTGGTATTGCGGAGTTGAAGATTATGATACCAGGCACCCCTCCTTGATACCCATTACAACTGCTACCTTTATCGCAGCGGGGATTTGGTGAGTTGATTTTGAAAGGACCAAGAAGAATTTAAAAACACACACAGAAAGACACAAAGATAGATCAGGTGAAGCACATGATAGAAGGTTCAGAAGGATAAAAAGGTGACAGAAAAGGAGTCTCCCTGTCATCCTGTCGCCCTCGTTCCCTTGTCAGTAGGATCTCTGTCTCTTGATTTATGACACAAATGGTGACTTTCGACAGATTCTGCAGTTTGCTTTTGAAATCTTGTTGTAATTGTAAGGTACCATGTGCACAGAAGAGCGGATGACATCAAAACCTACTGCCGAATGAGTGCTCACAGTGAGCAGTGGTGTCAGCCCCAGCCAGGTCAGAAAGAGCCCCAGGAGCCCCTTCCATGCCCCCGCTCCATCACTGCCTTTTTCTTCTGCCCAAAGGTACACACTGCCCGTCTTCATGGCATTTTCTGCTTTTCTGTGTGATTTTGCTGTTTCAGTGTGCATCTCTTAAACACTTGGCTTTTGTTTAGTCTGTTTTTATTGAAGAATGCAGAAATTCATTCATGTAGTATATTCTTTTATATTTGATGGCGTATACTCAGCTGCACCCAGGGTATGGTTGTGATCCCTTCCTGTGTCTAAGAATTTGTAGGTCACTTGGAACAGGTACACCTGCTTCTGACCTCTGGTGGTGTAGTGCCTATGATGTTACGGCTGCTAACCAGATCAGTGGTTCAAACCCACCAGCTTCTCTGCAGGGGGAGGATGAGGCAGTCTACTTCTGTAAAGATTTACAGCCTTAGAAACCCAGTGGGGGTCGCTGTGAGTTGGTATTGAGTCGATGGCAGTAGGTTTGGTTTTAGTCCAGGCAAGAAAAGGCTCAAAGCCTCTTCAAAAATTTAAAAGCTGCAGATGCAGCAAGTGAAGGTGATTGTGATGAATTTATTACAAATAAGGGTTGAGTTAGGGGTTGGTTCAGTTGTTTCAAGGTGAGGACAAGCTTGCATAATATTAAAGGGCCAGTAGGAGTTGTCCACTCGTTGGATGTGGTCACCCAGGGACTGCCTGTACGTAGAGCTTTCCAGCATTGGATACATCACAGCTCTAAACGACATAATGTGTAGAAAGTTTGCTTGGGTGAACTTTCCCAGACTGAATAAAAGGTACGTTCTAGGCCCAGACGTGCTTGTGTATGTTAGAGTTGTAGTTGCTGACTGTTACTTTTGTTCTCTTCAGCGTCAGTGTCCTTTTATGGCATGTGTGGTTACGTCTGTTCTGTTCCTTGCAGCTTCAATATCGCCTTATGGCACGTGTGGTCGTTTCTCACTCCAGTGTTGTTGTTCACCCAGTTCATGGGGCTCATAATGCTTATCTCACTCCTTGGATGATCGCTAAAGGTAAGGTTTCTGGCACGCCTTCGCGGATGATGCCCCTACTCGTGAAACGACTCCAGGACGTCTCCCAGTAGACTTGGCATCACGGATGACTCATGAGTTTTTCTCAGCCCTGTTTCCATCAGAGCTCTCTATCCCTTGAACTCTGGGATCAAAGCGGCTGAGACCCTGTCCCTCTTTCTTAATTTCGGGCAGAGTGAGTACTTTTTAGGGAAGGCACCATACCCTTCAAAGACCTCAGGAAGACAATTTGCACTTTCAAATATAATTAGAAACATTTTATATTTAACACATTAGAACATTTTACATTTAATTAAACTTTCATCTACCTATTTACAAATGACTGTTCTTAAGGAATGGGGAGAATAGGGAGTTTTGCCCAATCAGGGAAAAGAATCCTGCCATTTTCTGTCTGACTCCTTGTGACAATCTGAGAGGTGACCCCTCAGTCTTCTGTCGTGTTGTTTATGGAATTTCTGCCTCCCCACAGATCACTGCATCCTTGGGCCCTTGGCCTTACACAGTGCGGTCTGTTACTGAGTGTCACGTAACTCAGTTACTCAGTTTGCGTTGTAGGGACTCACCCTGCAAGCTTGGGAACATAGCAAAGGAGGACAGTTCCTCCTTCACATCACTTACCTCACAACTTGAAGAAACTTCCTCCATACATGAGTTTAAGATAGGAACTCTGAGGCCCAGAGAAGTAGAAATTGATCCACTAGTAAGTGATTGGGATGCTAAAGAAAGCTGCCATTTCAGCAAACAGCCTGCGTCCCCCCATCAGAGATTTTAAGGAAAGCTGCTGTAGCCACATAAAGATATGGATGTCACCTCATTGTTGCCACTCTGAGCAGCGTGGACGGCATATGCATAGCCATGCTGGTGACGAACATGTCCTCTTCTGTTGTGCTGTGGGCACCACTAGGGCTGTCCCGGTGTGCTGTGTGTCCTCGTTCCCATGTGTTGCCACAGAACACTAGGGCTCCTGAGTTAGTCTCATACATCTCGTCATGCTCCCTAATCTGACCTGGTCTCCACCCTGCCTTCTAGGCCATTAAATCTTCTCTGACTCTTCAGTGTTAAATTTTTACTGGTGTCCAGAAGCTTTGGACTCAGGCTGACATGAATTTATAACTAGTGATGGAGAGCTGTGTTAGTACAGTAGACATAGAACTTGAGCTCTGCTTTTTCATTAAATGCAGTAGCTTAAGGTGGAAGGTCTGTCTTGGGATGTAATGCTGTTTTTCTTTCAGATTTAAGAGAATGCAAATTTAAAGTGAATGATTGGCCCTCCTGCCAGCAGACAACATGGACAGATAATGGAAATCGGTGTCTTTTTGCATCTACACAACAAGCGGTTCCCGTGGGAAAATATGGCTAACAGATTTGTGGCACAAGCCAGAATAAATTATTTCATTCACGTAGTCTTAAACTCAGTTGATTATTGAATATTCCAGATGTCTGTGTTACAGAAGTAACTTTTAAAATGTGAATTGCTTGAATCTTTGGAAAAAGAAGTGATGTCAGAATTTGGCAGAGTTTCATTAGGGGTATGCAGTAACCCCCCAATAATGGAAATAAATTGCTCCCTCATCCATGTAGGGAATAGCAGGAAGCAGTGTCATGTAAACAGATGGGCCTGTCACATGCCTTTAAGCTAGTTAAGTACTTAGTTTAGATCTCATTCTTAAGACAGTTGTGTTAGGTGAGAGGACCATCCGAAAGTAATTATGTTTTCCATCACTTTTGATTTTTATCATTGTGTAAATTATGAGGGATTTTAACATTTGTTTGATTTATGAACTTTTAATCATTTTTCAGCATGTATGTTTTTTTTCTTAACATTTAAATAAAACATTTAAATAAAACTTCCCTGTGGGTTTTCTTAATACAGACTTCATGAGTTAGAATTGACTCAGTGGCAACTTGTTTACTAGCTGCAGTATTAGGACTTGAGTTAACTGTAGAAATAACTAAGGGTACTTTTTAGAGAAGGTTACTCTTATTTTTCAGGAGCTCTGATGATGTAGTACCTAAGGCATTTGACTGCTAACCAGAAGGGTGGCGGTTTAAGCCCACCGGCCCCTCCTCGGAAGGAAGGTTGGGCAGTCTACTTCGGTAGATACCATCTCGGAAACCCAAGGCGGGCTCTCTGTGAGTCGGATCTGACTTGACGGCAGTTTACAACAACAACAGCATTGTGCCCTTCAGACAGCTTGTTGTTGTTATGTGCCATTGAGTTGGACCCGACTCATAGCAACGCCTCCTTGGGTTTCCAAGGCAGTATCACTACGAAAGTAGATTGCCCAATCTTCCTTCCGAGGAATGGCTGGTGGGTTTGAACTGCCAGCCTTCTGGTTAGCAGTCAAGTGCCTTAGGCACTACACTACCAGAGCTCCTTCAGACAGCTTATAAAGACAGTATTGTCACCTTCAGCAAGGTGGCTGCCACTCCACGGCAGGCTTATGTGTAACAGAGTGAGACCTTGCCCAGGCCTGTGCTGTGGTTGTGATCGTGGGTGCGTTTGAGCTGCTTGTTGTGGCCGTTGTGTCCTTGTCATGGAGGGACTTCCTCATTTCCTTTGGCCCTCCACTCCACCAAACATGATGTCATTTTCTGGCCATTGGTCTTTCCTGGTGATGGGTCCAAAGTAAGCAAGCTGAGTCTCACCATCCTTGCTTCTAAGGAATGTTCTGGTTGTGTGTCTTCTGAGGCTGATTTTTAGATATGTTCCGTTAAACCCGAAGTTGGGACATTGTGAGGTAGAAAGGGCCTGATAGGTTCTTTTCACCATAAAGTGACCTCTAGTGAGCATTTTTAAATAGAAATAAACTTTGACTATTAAAAGGTTTGTTAAAAAAAAAAATGACCTCTAGTGATGACCTGATCCAGTCAGCGCTTGTGTTGTCGAGACATGCGGTTACACTCGGGCAGGAAGAGAAGGCACAGTGCACATCATCCATGTCTGCTGTGTGTAGTGTTAGTGAAGACCAAGTGGTTTCCTTGAACCGGGGAACGCTGGTTCTGCTGCTCTGAGGCGTAAACTCTGAAGGGCTGAGGTGAAGGTGTTCAGAGTCTGGAGGATGTGAGGGTAAGAGCCCTGACTTTGGAATCATACCTAGTTCAAGCCACCCCCTGCCACTTATTGGCTACAATACACCAATAGTCTTTTTTTTTTTTTTTTTT